TTCTAGCTTAGTTTGGGTTCTCAAATTCGATTCGAAGTCTGTCAGAGGTCTGCACTCCTCAATACAGTCAAGGTCTTGGATGGAGCTAAGTAGAGAGGATTTGATATGTGAGTAATTCCCAGGGATGGACTTATTGCAGGTCTTTAGGGAGGCTTTGAGAAGTTGAATTTTGGTTTGGAGCCTATAACCTGCTCTTCTCGAAACCTGACCAGAGAAAGAGTTCCACTAGATGGGAATCAGAGTGGAAAGAGACTTTTCTTCAAGCCAGGCCAATTCAAATTTGAAGGGTTTCGATCCTCTTATGATTGCTTGGGTGTTTAGAAGGATAGGGCAACGATCAGAGGTGGGTTTAGGCAGTGCCATGGCGTGAGAACCCAAAAGAGTTCCTCCCAGTTCAAAGATAGGAGGAACCTATCAAAGTTTAGAGAGATAAGGTTGGGGGGAGTGATTGGACCAAGTAAAGCGGTTTCCTTGGAGCAGGATGTCTAGGAGTTCATTTCAAAAAATGAAGTTCGAGAAGTCCGTCATTCCCTGGGAGATGGTAGAATTGGAAGTTTCTCTCATGAGACCATCTCGTGATGTTGAAATCTCCACCCAAACACCATACAGGGTGGAGTAGGACAGCCACATAGTCCAATTTTGTCCAGAGACATGGTCGGAGAGAAGCTGAGCAGTTGTCATAAATGGTCGAGAATTTCTATAAGAAGCTGTCAAAAGTACGTGAAAGAAGAACGGTAATGGAGAACTCCCCTATATGGGAGAAAAGGAGGAGGTGATCTAAGGTTCCAGATCACCCATATACCCCCTTAAGCCTCATCCACAGGTTGAGCGACCCACTGGCAAGGCCTTTTACCCCAGACCTGACAAATAAGATGAAGAGTGGGCTCGGGTAGTTTAGTTTCCAGGCAAGAATAGCAGAAGTGTGTTTTGAGGTCAAGTCCTTGATTGCCTCCCTTTTGGATGAGTGTCCCAAACCTCTTATGTTCCAAGTACGGATCTTCGTGGTTTGGGGGTGGGAGTTGAGGAAGAGGCTAATCTCGTAGACCTCCTCAAGGAGGGAGCGGAGGTAGGGGATGGGAAACCTTGTAAAGGACAACCTTCGTAGGAGATAGAGAACAGATTGAGTAGCTCCCTTTGTCCTTTAAAACTCACCTTCAGTGGGCTCTAAGCGTCTGCAAGAAGGAAACGGTGTGCCAATCCTTCAGGGCCTTCATGCTGGAACCCCATAATCCGATATATAACCTTTATTCTCTCCAAATCTCTGTCGTTCCCATCCCCGTCAACCCCCTCAGCGTTGTCACTCGCGAAGGAAGAGAGATGGGCGTGCTAGGTCCCTCGGGCGACTCCATGTCCAGCTCGAAAGGAGGGAGGGGAAGATGGTTGGTAGGGTAAAGGTCAAGAGGTAAGGTAGGGAGAGGTTCAAAGATAGTGGGTAATGAGGAGGTAGAGGGAGGGTCAAGAGAAGAAGAGGGGGGGTGGGGGGGGGGGGGCAGAGGGAGGGAAGGGAGTAAATGAATGGAGGGAAGGAAGGCAGGACGTGATAATTTGGAGAGGCTCAACTAGATATTAATATTGTTAATATGAAATTCAACTCTATTTTTAAGTAGAAGTTCAAGCTTTATGGCTGAACATTTAATAATAAAGACTTGCTAGCCCCGAGTTTGGAACCCATGACCTTTTCAAGGTGGCTAGTAAGGTCTAACACCTCATCAGCAGCGTTTATGTATACCTGATATGAAAATAATTATTATTAGTGTAAAGTATTATTTGATATAAAAAAAATGTAAAACAATAATCCTAAGAGTTTCAATCTCCAATCCCTTTCATAAGGGGGCAATCTATAATCTATTTTACTATTGCAAAAACAGTAATTGGCTGTAGAAAAGTATATAAGCTTATTTATATAATCAATTCATCGTCATCAGAGCCTTATTCCAACTATTTGGGGTCGACTACACGAATCTGGTTTCGTCATTCCACTCTATCAAGGGCCATACCCTCAATCAAACCATGAGTCACCAAATCCCGTCTTACTACTTCCATCTACGTCCCTTTAGGCCTTCCATTTTCCCTTTTAGAGCCGTCTACTTAAACCAAATCACCCCTCTTAACTAGTGTTGTTCTAAGTCGATGTTGCAAATGGGCAAACCACCTAAGTCTACATTTCCTCATCTTATCACCTATTGAAGCTAACCCTTAAGTTCCCTCGGGAAGTATTCATTTCAAATTCTATCATTTCTTCTCTTGCCACTCATCCATCTCAACATCCTCATCTCAACTACACTTATTCTATGAATATGTTGTTTCTTAACCGCCCAGCATTTTGTCTAATAAAGCATGGTCTTACAGCCGTCGTATATAACTTCTCCTTCAGATTCGTTGGTATGCAACGATCACATAAGACTCCAAAGCATTTCTCCACTTCATCCACCTAGCTCTGATTCTATGTGCAGCATCTTCTTTAATCTCTCCATTCTCATGGATTATCGACCCAAGATATTGAAAATTATCTCTTTTAAGTACTTTTTTGTCATCAATCTTAACTAATTTCTCGTTTCTATCCTATTATTACTAAACGTACAGAGCATATCTTCTGTCTTAGTCTAGCTAATTTAAAAACACTTATATTCTAAAGCATCCCTCCAAAGTTGTAGCTCTGCATTGATGTTGACTCTAGTCACATCAATTAAGGCTATGTCATCCGAAAACAACATACACCACAGTACTTCATCCTGTAAATGCCTAGTTAACTCATCGATAACCAAAACAAAGAGATATGGGTTCAATGCTAACCCCTGATATAGGCCTACTGTTACTGAAAACTCATTTGTCTCTCCAATAGTTGTTCGTACACAAGTAATCCCTGGTACATATCTTCACCATGTCAATATATCCTCTAAAGATACTTTTCTTTTCCAACACCTACCAAAATAACTCTTTAAGTACCCTATCATATGCTTTCTCTAAATCAATAAAAACCATGTGAAGGCCTTTTCTCGTCTCCCTAAACTTCTCAATTAATTGCTTAAGCAGGAAAATAGCCTCAATGATTGACGACCCAGACATAAAACAAGACTAATTGTTTGATATACATGTTTTATGTCGCAGTCGTTGCTCAATCACTCTTTCCAATAGCTTCATAATGTACACCTCAATGTGTCTCCTTTTTCTTGTAATTAGATACCACAGTATTTTTTCTCTATTCGTCTGGCATTTGTTTTGTTTTCTAAATATTGTTGAACGGCTTGGTCAAACACAATATGTCAATCTCTTCCATACACTTCCAAACCTTTATTGGTATACCATCTGGCCCTAAAGCCTTTCCTACGTTCACCTTTCTCAAAGCTTATATCATTTCAGATAACCTAATGGTCCTAATCCAATGAATATCGATGACCTCTAACCTCATTTATGTCAAAGAGTCCTAATACCGTGCTCCTAGAGTGATCTTCATTTAATAATTTTTGAAAATAAACTCTCCACCTTTCATTGACCTCGTCATCTTTCACTAAGACCCTTTAATCCTCACTCTTAATGCAATTAACATGATCTGGATACATATAGTTACTCTCTTTTTTGACAGTTTGAAGACATCTTTTTCACCTTCTCTCGTCCCCAATTTATTGTATGGACTATCATATGCTTTAAGCTTAACCTAACTATTTTCTTTTATAACCTATTTTTGGTTATCGCACATTTTGTATAAACGTGCCATGTTGCATTGGCTTTTTTAGACAAAGCACTAGACACTCCTTGTACATGATAGACACAGGACCCATATTGTGCCTATTTAACAACACTTGTGTCAATTGAGATCAGAGTGGGGCTTACTAGAGCATTCTGATTTGTGGTTCGCAAAAGTTGTCGCGGACAATCTCTTGCAGATGAAGATGGTTTTGACCAATCCTGACAAAGGGACCAACCATCACCAAGTTGCACACAGAGTAGATTGACTAATGCATGATGATTAGTTAATACAACAAGGTGGAAGGATATTCCCCAGCTGTGGGTGACTTCGGAACTCTAATTTTGTAATCTCTTACAATGTTAATACAAGTTAACCTTTCCTCAAAAAAAACAAGGTGGAAGGATATGGGGGATCAGATATGAAGAAAACCAAGTTGATTTTAATATGAGAAAATCTAGCATCAATCTACCTCATCAACAAGGGGCTCAAACACTACTTGGTTTCCATTGTTATTATGGAGAATCTTTATTTTCATCATCCTTTTCAAAAACTGGCAGTCATAAATCAGGAATCACCACCAATATATGATGTATACCAAGACGATGATTTTGATTTCACCAAAAAGCTTAGTGTAGTTGAATTTTGAAAATGAATTTATAATGGTAAATTTGTAGAGAATACGAAGATGGTTAACTTAGATTTGTTCATATCAATTAATCCATCTGAATATATAAATCCATTACTTGAGGCACTTTCACTACCATTTAGCAAGCAAGGCGAAAAAAGAAAAAGCAGGAAGGAAACAATAATAACAAGATGCAACCCATCCAACTTCAAAACTCAAGGACGAGTTTCCTCCAAGATTGATGCAATCACACTAGGGGCAAATTAGCATTTCCTCTTTGGCGCCTACTTTATGTGTTGAGGTTTTCGTTAGGGTGATTTATGGATATCTGGAAGTCACGTACTTGATTCAAATTCCTATTATCCTGTGTTTATTTTGGGTTATCATGAGTCGTGATTATTTAGAAAACTTAAGACAACAAGTGGTGGTGATTAGAAGTAACAAGGGCATAGAATTTTTGTAGATATTTTTACGGTTTTAAGGATGGTTTTAGGAATGGTTTTTCAGAGAGAAATTGGGGATTTTTCCTTTGGAATATAATTTTGTATTTGGAAGCTTCCAGTGATATTGTTCGATGGTGGACTTCCTTCCCAAGCAATTTTGCGCAGATTTTATGTTTGTTGGTTTGATTTTTGCATTCTTAGATATTCTTTTCAATAATCAAATATCAAGGCCAGCATGACATACCTCCAGTAAGTAGCTGGATACTACCATCTACCATCCTTAATAGCACATACGGATCTGCTATGGACGCTGATGATACAGTTGACGCCTCGGAGTTTGAAGTTGAGTCAGTACTAGAATGACCAAAGGGAAGATCTTGTGTCATATAAGCACCATCAAGAATACGAGCACCTCGCACATAGATTTGGACAACACGCCGCCTAGAAAAACAACAGAGTCAAAATAAAACTCATCATGGCATGAAATAACGGTACTCTTAAATTCCACCCACTTCTGTACTAGTAGAAAACATTAAGCTTCCAATGTTTTGTGATCACCCCCAATTGTTATTTCCTTAGGGGTTTGTAACAGACAGCTGGCTCTAAGTAAAAACATGCAAATTAAACAAATTACAGATATCAGCATTCTATTATATTATAAAACTAGGGGACGACAAAGCCAACTTGAAGCACAAAATGCTTAGAAACCATGGAAACGAAGGTTTATTCAACTTAAAAACCAGAAAAGAAAAAAGACAGAATTGGGTAAAACAGGATTCTCCGAAAAGATGTAATACAATTCATCAAGAAGGGCCAAAATGTTGATAATGCATTTCATTATAACAATCCCTTCCTGTTCTTCAGCCTCATAGATCACAGTGAACTCATATGTTGGAATTCGATGATCACTGTCTCATCAATAGATTAGATAAACAAATAGAGGAATATGAGAGAGGAACAAAGCTGTTACAATAAATAAACTATACATTCCACACTAGAACGCTAATCAGCATTCCTTACACACAATAACCAGAGCAAAATTCACACAGCTGCATTGTTTCTTCCCCCTGGGTAATTTTGAATTTGCATTCCAAAATAGAACAGAGCAGACCACAATATAGTTACTAATTCTAAATTTGGATACACGTACATTTGGAAGTAAGATAATGGCTAATGAGAAAAAAAAGACTAGGTGCCAATATAGAAATAACTAGGCGATTTCACCCTAGTTAGAAGGGCAGAGTCCAGCATGGAAGGTGTCCAATAATATAAGTAATTCCATTGCCAACAATTTCAAAGTAAACCTTTGTTAAGGTATTATAAGCACGGATTCAATCCAAAAAGACAAACAGCTTCAAGGCATTGAACTAAGCCTTACTTCCAGTGTTTCAAAAGCGCTAGGCAGCACCTATGCGGGTTCCCAAAACCTTGGTGGCATAGTTGAAAGAAAAAAGATAGAATTTTTTAGAATTTTGATATTCTATAATCTATCCATAATCCATATTTAATATTTAATGAGGAATTGAGGAGAAGTCGAGAAGAGAATTTTGATAATCCATAAGACCATAATCCATATTTTTATACCATGTTAAAACAATAAACCATACAAGCATTACACTGATAGTCTGATACACACAAAAGTTAGATAGTAGAAACTAGAAGGTAGAAACAAAAAATAAGAAAAAGAAAATATATAGTCTAGGACACAATAGTTAACACTCAACAGTCAACACCAAGAGTTAAGCACTCAAGCGTCTTCAACTCTTCATTCTTCAATCATCATCGTCATCTTCATAAGGAATAATGCAAGCCTCATCTCCCTCCATCATCATCAAAGTCATCTCCGTCCTCAACGTAATGCTTGTCCTCCTCTATTTCTTCTGAATCTGCCCCTTCCTCCTCCTCTTCTTCTACATCTATTTTCGGTTCTTTTAAATTCAGAAATTGTCTAATCTCATCCTAAATAGCTTCAAGAACCTTTTTACAAGAAGCAACATTTCTTTTAATATCGGCAAGATGTTTCTCGAATCGGTTAATACCCCCACTAGTATCGTTTTCACAAAAATCACACCTTATACAATTTTTATAGTTTGGTTTCGGGTTATGACCAAACTTCCAACCCAGATCACTTCTAGTAGAACCAGAAATAGATCTATTCAAATGACAAGGATTTTGTTCTTGTTTTTGTTTTACAGAACTCATATATTGCTTAATCTCCTCACGTATAGCTTCAGAAACATTTTTAAAAGGGGCAACATCCCCCTTAATAACGACAAGATGTTTCTTAAACCGGTTTATGCCCCTTTTGTGTCTTTTTCACAATAATTGCATCTAATGCAATTTTTTTCATTTTGATTCAGGTTATATCCATATTTCCAACCCGGATCTCCACTTCGACTAGATCCTGAAGAAGACATCTCAAAATAAAACATGAAATCTAGAAAATAAAGTTTTGCACTTACTTTAATTGCTCGAATTCCAAACTTCCACCTTTGCGATGTTTTCTGGTGCTAAAATATTCAAAAACACCCTCTAATAGGATTAAACAAACTCCAACACTAAATCTAATCAACCTGGGTGATGTTATTCCGTAACTTTGAGAAATACTTCGATCCCATGAAAATCACAAAAACTAGTTTTTTTAGGTTTTTTTCTCTCAAAAATGGATTCTTGTGGGTTTAGGTTTGAAAGCTTTCATTTTTCAAACAAACTCAATAGAATATAAAAAAAAGTCATTTCCGCCCCTGGGCGGAGCGCAAACCCTGAGCAGCCGCTTAGAGCTGAGCCCTGAGCGCCCACTTAGGCGAGTGTCGTACCGCCTAGGTGGCCGCCTAGGCACCACTGCCTAATTTTGGCGCCTAGGCCTAGACGATGCACCCAAGCCTTCTGGACTACCTTGGCGCTAGGCGATCCGTGTTTTGAAACAATGCTTACTTCCTGACCATTTAAACAAAAAGTTTTAAGTGTCATTATGCAAATGATAATAAGGATTCAATCTGAAAAGGCAAATAGCTTCAACGCATTGGACTAAGACTTACTTCCTAACCATTGACCAAAAGTTTTAAGTGTTATTATGCAAATGATAATACACAGTATGCATCATGAAAACAAAAACGAAACCAACTTGAAATTGCAATTAACCCCATATGAGATCAAACGTATTCATATCAAAGAATCAACAATGTATCCCAATAAAAATGAAATTGAACATGATATCTAATAAAACACTAGGAGACAACACTTTTTAATGAACAGTAGAGAATCATTTCACCTGCCAAACAGATTGCCAGCGACAATGGTGCTCCCCTGGACATAGTAATCAACACTTTCTGTGACTTCTCCTAAAAGATCAGCTGTTTCAAGGACCTATACATTTGTCATACCACCGAAGAGAAGATGTAAGCTAATCAAACCAATGCAGTACTTCTGCAACAATTTCGTATGAGAGACAGAATAACAATACGGTCAGATCAAAATCAATTAGCTGACACTGTTTCAATTTGGTTGATCAACATAATTAGAATTTATAAACATTGTATCTTTAGACCAAGGTTTGAAAAAACGGATCGATGACCCGGATTGTCCATCCAAAAACCACGTCGGATCGACCGATCAGCGATCAGGATTGGAGAATCGGCAAGAGCTTGCCTCAAATGTTTTTTAAAAATAACTAAAAATCATTATAAATAATGTTATTTGGGTTTTTAAAAAAAATAGGGGCAATAAATTATGGATTTTTATTATCTTGCAAAATTAAGTGAATAGTGAGATACCGTTTCGTGCTTGAATGCCTGTCGATCACATTTTGGTTGTGTTTCTGCCCATTATTTCATGGGGTTTTTCTCTCTCTCTCTAAAGATGAAGAGGGAGGAAATGTTGGTTGTATTTCATTATTTCATGTTATGTTTTGGAACAAAGTTTCTTTTTTTAAATAAACAACCTCAATCTCAATTTATTAAATTATTTCCAAAGTCTCAGCACATGCTTACAATTACAAAAAAAAACATATCCAAATAGCAACAAAACCTTTCCACTTTTAACCTTAACACCATAGAAAGAAAGTACTGCCCTATCGACATTGTTGTTGTCGGCAAGGGCAAGGCAAAAGACAAGGAAGCACGCCATTACCAGGCATTTCAACCACTAGGAGGTAAATGGAAGGGGAAGTCATCACCAGTCAAGAATCAACAGAGAAAAGAAGCATCCCTTGCTGCTATCGACATGTAATGAACCTCAGAGAAATCGTGGAATTTTCAGTTCATTTTTTATAGGTTATAAAGGAATGTATAAATAGGATGCAGCAAAGTACATATTCCCCATAAAATCTAGTATAACAAAACACAAGTTACTGGAGGCATACCATTGTTCGAGACTCCAGGCTGATGATCAAATACGCATGAAACTCATCACCTTCTGCCGCAACTTTAGAAGAATCGGTTGAATGGCTGCGTGGATTTTTGTGGTAGACGGTCCAAATTCCTTTGACTCCAGTAAGCTCAACCTGCACAAAATTTCTTAAAGTTAAACATAAAAAAAACAAACAACTGGATAAATAAACTTTCTAGAGCTTTTCAATATAATATCACAAACTAGGTAACAAAAATATAATCAAATCACGTAGGACATAAACAAGTACAGCTCAACTGATCAACCTAAATATCGGCTCCTATCTTAGCACCACTAAGGTGCATAAAGGCAAACAGACCTCAGTAACCAATTCAGGACGGATAGATTGTTGAAGTAGACAAAGAGCGCCATTCTTTCCATGACCAGAACAGCTCACCTGAAAACAAACAATAGGGTAAAATTGTTCCCTCCAGTTACTCAGTTTGTCACGACTTATGATGAATGGATGCATGAAAAAGCACCAGTACAAGATATGCAACACAACCCTTTCAATAGGAGAAGCATCCAAATAATTCTCAAGGGCGCCTGGTGCCAAAGCGGCGCCTAGTACCTCAGGCACTCAAAGGTGTGAGATATATACACATTTTTGCATATATCTGCTGTCCATATGCACATATATGCCTATATACATGTTAAATATGTACATTTATGCATTTATATGTATTCTAAGATATACAAATATATGCGCATGAATGTTGAAGCACGTTCAAATCACTGAAAATTTTGCTTCTTTGAATAACTCAAATAGTGAGGGAAAAAAATACACAAGTACACAGTGTATTAGTGACTTGGTGTCCATCCAATATACAAATACATAGTACATTAGTGATTTAGTGTTCATACACCATAAACTCTATAGTCCATACTTCGTACATTCATACACATCACCGATGAGATTAAAGACCAATACAAAATGATGTTGTACAAAATATGCTATACAAATTAAAAGAAAAAGATGTTTAATTATTCAATTTTTTGATGATTTATCGTCAATATTTCAGTTGCCTAACAAGCTTAGAATCACCCAAAAGTCTTCCAAGAACCTCATTTGGACACTAAAATTAATTGCAATAAGATATATGGTAAGATTTTGGATGATCCTACGTACTTCTCAAAACTTTCGTGTTCCAAAAAAATCACAAAATCCATCAATTTTGGGTGTTTCTTGGGCATAAGAAGATCTCTTTTTGCCTTGGGGGGTCAGAATACCACCCACTTTTCATGGGTCAAAATGACCAAAATGGTCCTCTCCATTTTTATGTATGATCCTAGGCACCTGCCCAGGACTGGACACTGGGAGCCTGCCTGGGCAGGAGCCCAAGAACTTCGCCCTAGGAAGGCCCGCCCAAGCCTAGGCAAGGCGGCCTATGGCCCCTGGGCACCCAGGCAGCCACCTAGGTGCTGGACGGGCTGTTTTTGAAACAATAAAAATAAATAAACTGAATTCAGCATAATAACAAAAACTTATGAACCTCAATATTTGATGCAAATATCATTTATTATCAAAAGGAGAGCAATATACAGCAGAGAGGATTGCATAACCAACCAATTCATAGTTACTTTGCTTGGCAACTCCTGAAGCATTTGGATCAGCATTGATCCTCAGGCCATAAGAGAAGTCTTTCAATGGACCAACATTTAATAAAGAATCTCTCACTGCAAATGAAAAGGATTTCTGCTGCACATAAACCAAATACAATTGAGAAAAATCACAAAAGAAAAAACCTGGAGAAAACACGACACCATCACGAACCAAATGATGCAAAGGCGATCAATGTTGATATTTCATGCAAAAGCCTAAAACACTGCATCTAATCACCATCAAGATACTCATCAGATTCATAAAATTCCCAATAGTGAATTATTAACTCAAAATCCTAGCAACCTCGAGTTTATTGGTCAAAAACAGAGGATACCTAGAATTCTTTTTTTTTTTTTTGAAATACCTAGATTTAAGGATGTCCAAAACCAGCAACTTTTGTCATAAATCATGACCATTTCCTGATTAGCTAGAGACAAGATAAATATGGAGATAAATGCATGAAGGGCAATTGTCTTGCATATTTAAATGAAAGACACTACATTATGACATAGCTGACCGCAAATAATTGGGATAAGGCTTGGGCGATGATGATGACATTACACTATTGACATTTTGTACTAGAAGATCACAATTGTATAAGATATTATGATTAAAAACACATCAATTATTTTGTTACATACAGTATAAATAAAGTTTCTCACTCTATGAAAACCAAACTGTCAGATGAAGATCACCAAATCAAATGAACAGTGAACAAAATTGACAATATGTGGATATTGGTATGAAAATCCACAACGATAACCGCTCAATCATAACAGTAAAGAGATAAATAAAATTTTCCCCATGAGAATCCATTAAACTGAAGAACGCAGAGAGTTCACTGAATCTACAGAGCTCATTCAATCTTGAAACAAACATCAGGATTTATTTCAATAATCAAAACAACATAAAATTTAAAAATCTGCACTATCAAATATTCATAGATTTTGCTGCATGATAATACTACTGTTCCTCAATGCCAGAAGCACCACCACTCTCATTGCAAATTGAAATGGGGCTCCAAAAATATAAACTACTAAATGCAAGACAAAATAAATCCAAAATAAGAAGCATACCAGACCTGCGCAGGATCTAAGTTATTTGGAGCCGAAACGTACAGAGAAAGCTCCTCATTTACATCTTGTGAAACATCAGATGATGCCCTACGTAACCTCTTCGCCGCAGGAGCATCCCCCTCAATTTCTACACCCTATCATGAAAAAAGAAGTTGAAGAAAAGAGGCATCCAAAACTAAGACATTTTCCTATGCAAAACAAAATCAACAAAAAGAAAAAAAAGAACTTGGTGAACACAGTTGCACAGATGCACCAGGCGGCTAGACTTCTAAGAAAAACATAGAAGCGACAAAGATCAAGTTTGCGACAAGGTGCATTCATATTCAGCCAATATGGCAAAGGATTATGCTGACAGTGACATATGTTACACAAACTTTCTTGAGGCAGCTATAATGATCATCTCCAAAGCCTAACATCACAATCCCAGCTTTAGCAAGCATCTTAATACCAAAATTCATATCTCAACTGAAAGAATAAACCAATTCTCCAGAATGCATTCCCATAAATGTCTTACCAAACAACAATATTAAATTTTAGATTATAGATATGGTCGAATTGTGAACCTGAGGAAATTTCAGACCATATTTGTGAAACTAGCTTCTGAAAACTACCCAAACTTTTTCGTGAATACCCATGTTTGCCGAAGTAGTTACCATTTCATTCGCTTTGTATTACATGAACCACATTTATTGTGTTAAATTTTTAAGCACAGATAGAAAATCATCACAAATTTCAATTAACCTAGGACTAGGTGAATATCACCTTCTAAATCTATCTAAAGATGTTCATGGGGGAAACCATGAACCTCCACCTGTACAACCTTTTAAGAAGGACCAGAGCGTCTACCCAGACGTTGAGTCAATTGTACATAGATGGACTAAAAAAGCAATCGACCACAAAACTTGCTTCTTACGAAATGCTTCCACACCATTACATCCAAGTTGCCTGTTGAGCATCCATCACATTTAACTTCCTCTACTCTTGAATGTTAGGATTATCAATCCTCGATAGTCTCTACACACTCTGAACTTGTGATCACATCCATTCATTCATCCCTATAACATATCTAATGTTTAAACACCCTGTCATGATTCTGGTAAGTGGTAACTGCACTGATGATTAATCATCTAACAATATCCATTAACCACTCATTCATTGCATTGCAAATTCGGGAAAATGTGGCGAATGTGTTCTAAGTTCTTCGCAAATCTATGAAGGAGGTGACAGAAAAAAATAAAAGGAAAATAATCAAAATGAGTGACAGCTCTCATAACATTTCACATCACAGGTTGATGTTACTGCTGAGAATGTAAAATAATAGATGAAGAAATGACAGAAATAAACTCATTCCCACAAAGAGAAATACTTGCAACCATTTTTGTAGACAGTAAATTTTGAACCTCCTCCCAGGAGTGGGCATAATAAGCAATATTATGAATGACAGCAGAAAAAGAAGCAATTTAATTTAAGTGCAGACCTCATCTTTTCCCTGTCTCGAAGTCAGAATTGATTGTGAAGCCCCAGAATTAAATTGAACTAGAAGGCTGTCTCCCAAACGGCTTCCAAGGAAGAAGAAGTGATTACTGATTGTTGTGATACCCTTTTCACATAAAAAGAAGGAAAGAATGCCAAAATTGTGGTCAACTGGATATTCTCAAAGGGCATATGTATAAGAAGTCACAGGGGGGGGGGGGGGGGAAGTCAAATTCTGTTGAATCTAACTTATCAGCAAAACACAATTAAAAAAAGGTTTAGCATAAAGGAAGCTCAACACACCGATGTCAAGACTGAAGCTCTGGACTTGGAAAGTTCAAGTCGTTGCACAGTTCTGCAGGGGGGAAAAATATATATAGATCTCATAACACATGGATCCAAGCCCAATGGCAATATCAAGACATAAAAGCTGGACATCATGGATAATAATAAGAAAATAGGACATTTACAATGTGTATAATCCGGTTCTTACCTCCCATCATAAACCAAAGTGAGCAAGAGCAGTTCTCCAGTTTTTATTGAAAACAGGGCAACGTCATTTGACAGCCACGTTGCATGAGCTGCATCAAGCTCCACATTAACATTTGATCGTGGCATCTCTTGGCTGAAATGAACAAGACAAACTGAACCAGAATATTACAAAATAAACAAAGTCACATTAACAATAATTGGCATAAAATTAGCTTCGGATATCCATAGAAGAAGCACGGCATATCAAACAATATACTAAATTAAAAAATTATACAAACCATACCAAAGATGAATATAATAAGATAAAGGAAGTCTAACAAAATCTATCAGAACTTCCAAACCCAGAAGGGAATAAACATGTAAATTGATGGATCAGGAGAAGACCTGTTCTCCCCAGCAACCGCGAAATCGTTCAAAGCAAGAGCACATGACATTGACTGCCAAAGTAGGAACCCATCACAGAGGGATTAGACAAGAGAAATCGGAAAAGTTTGCAGCTTCAGATTCTTGGTATTAAAAAAAGATTAAAAAAAATGCTAACATTATAGGCCAGCAGAAAGGCACAAAATTTTTGACAAAGTAGTTTACCTGACTATGATAATGAATAGAATTGGCACATATCACAAGCACACCGCCAATTGGAGAAGGCACACTAAGGAGCTTATAAGCATCATGAGGAAGATTCTGATTGGAAAGTAAAAAAAAAAAACCATAAAAAATGATGAATTCTGTGATAATCACAAACATAGGCACAATTTGAGAACCTGAACGTACGAGTGATGAAACTAATACGGTTTATCCAAAGACTACTCCATAGATTCACAATGTGAAAGCAAAAGACATCCAACAAGAAGAACAAAAAAGGTACTTGGTCCCAATACGCCAGCTAAGAAATGCCAAGAGACGTGTTCGTAATTGTTTGCAGATCATTGTTATTCTTTCAAACCAATGCATTTTCTTACTGTTTTCCTTACCCATCCACATCTTAGTAATTGTACATATGCCTAATGGTAAAGTTGTCCAATTTTTTCACATTTATGTTTCTCTATTTAAGGTACAGAACCCCGAAGCATCACATAATTTTTACCAACCTTGCTTCTTCAATATTCACTCTCTCTCTCTTCTTCTCTCACTCTCTCTCTCTTCTTCTCCACTATTTGATGCTTTATTGCAGGAACTTGCATGGCTTCAAGCCAGATAGAGTTATCCCCGTGTTAGCACATCCTCATCAGTCTCTGAACAAAATTCTTGCTAAATAGGTGCTGCACATTTCTCAATACTAGGACCAGATTTTTATTTTCCCGATAAGAAATCATTTTAAATATTTTGTTTCTATAAAGGGTGCAGTTTGTATAGAGCCAAGGCTCTAAACAATCAAAGTAAAGTGCACCATCAAATAGTGTCGAGAAATGTGATTTCAATAGTGGAAATCTTTGTAATAGCTTTCAAATATATTTTCATTTTTAATTATAAAATTTAAAGCTTCAAAAATAGTGTAGATCGAGTTGATCTATGAAAACTTAAAAATCTTGAAAATTGACAGTCCAAAAATGCATTACAAGTTGCACTATTTCCAAAACTTGAAATCCATTTTTTCTCATGTCCACGCAACTTGATATCGAGATGATCAATTGAGGATATTTGGGCATCAAAACAACCTCGTCTAGTGAAATTTTTGAGGTGGCTTCTAATTTGATTGTTTAGAGCCTCGGCTCTATATAACTTTTTCCTTCTCCAGATAAGGAATCATTTTAGGTCCAACTTCCAACTTCAGTAAGAAGGTCACTTGGGTTAAGGACGATTACAGTTTCTTCCAAATTTTTACTAGTATTCTAGAATATAGAATTTTATTGGTTTGGCTGGTTCGTATGACAAGTTAAGGTTTTCTAATCCCTACACTTATTTAATGCTTAATGCATAGAAGTTGATTTATCATGTGGGAGAGATTCAGCACACATCATTTTTTTCAACCCTGTTTCTCCATGCAAAGAACTAGAACATGTGATATGTAATTGTAGGTAGACCAGTGGAACATGCAAGTATTTCTGAATGCTGCCACGAACTCCATGATTGGTTTATTTGCTGCTGATACCAAGACAGAGAATTATTGCAAGGAGATTGTTTCTTCTACCACTCCAACTCCTTGCCATTCCTTTCTCTAAATAGTATTGAATAGTCCAACAATATTGGCATCCTTTGACTTTTTAAAAACTAAAGATGATAATAAGTACCTGTGAAAATTCTCCTAGACAATGGGTAGCTCCGAGATACTAGAGCTGCTGATCAGAACTTATGAAAATATTCACCAACAAAGGTAATGATAAATTTATTATCTGCAGTTTTCTTTTTAAATTTTTAACCAGTGTTTTCTTTACCCCTTAGAGTAGTATGGTAAGTATTACTGCCAGTTTCACTAACTTAGTTGTTTCTATTCTTGGTGCGTTCCTCGTGCCACCATTTGAACTTTATTCAGTTAGACATGCACCCATGCCTACGTACAAAAAGCAAACTAGCAGTATAAATATTCACAAGGTTGACGTCATTCATCCCAAAATATTGAAGAGATTGGAAGCAAAGGGCTTACACTGGCAGACCATATGAGCGGGTGCTGTTTTAAGGTTGTACTGATACTAAATGCCGAAATCATGCATGTGTGATGCTTCCATGAGAGACGCCCAGCCCAAGTCAGCTCCTTTTCATGAAGAATTACCATAACAGGCTCAATATAGCCTGCAATGTACAAAACCAGGACAATCGCAGCAAGTAAAAACTCCAGGTAAAAAAAAATGAAGCAACATTGCGACGTGTGCACTACTCCAAAATGATAAGTATGAACTCCTACCTTGTTACATATGCCAAGAATGCAACCAACTTTATCCATTAAAAGATAACTTTATGCACACTGCAATCTTTCAACCGATAGAATACAAATGAACACTTGAAATGTTCTAAAGATCTTACCATGAACAAATACAAAATCTTTTACATGTTTCATGTCAAGCTCACGAAGGCTAATCACATAGGAAGATTCAATCCGTATAGAGACAGTTCCGGTGGGGCCATTAGCATCATCATCTCCAACAAAACCATAGCCCGCCTAGCATGTAATAACAACAAAAAAACTTGTGAGCAAACCAAAACATATTGCAAACATCTTACCACTGAAACAATTCATACACCATGATATAGCAACGATCTCCAATAACAAAAGTTAATGAATGCTTTCAATTACCATTTAACTGGATTCACATATTTAACCAGATTGGGAATGATTTCTCACCTAACTCACAGTATATGGTTTTAGCCATTACTACGACATAAGAAGAGTTCAACAAAGTTGGGGAGTCATAGGACAGCCTATGGGCACTCCATGAGATCAAAATGTCACATGTTTAAACCTTACTAGAAGAGAGGAAAGACCTTTTACCAACACAATACATAAGTCCTGATAACTCAATAACCACTATGACAGTGTAAATGGGCAGTTGTGTTTCCCTAGTGAAGCAATCAGGAAGACCTACCGTGACCAGAATTTATCATTTTTTCACAGGTATAGAATAGGAAACTTGATTTCAAGGCCAAAATTCCTTAGCAAGTCCATCTCAAGCCATTGTTTGATGGTGTTGGGCGTGTGTCCCTACATGCTTGGAGACCATCCTCTTTCAGATTCCAGTTAATGCACAGGAGTATTTAGTGATCAGAAAGAGGGAGAAGCGTAACGGTGGTTTAACTTATTGATTCAAGCAGTTGAAGGGAATTAAACTTTGTAAGAGCCAAGTGTTTAGCCAAACTGAGTCAAGAAAATCCAAGATACCGCTAGATAGAGAAAAAGGATAAAGTAAGAGATGATCAGCTTCAATAATATAAGAACATGGGCTTCCCCCAAAACAAATACAAGAACACGGACAATAAAAAGATTAATAACTTATCCAATTATGAGCACATATTCTTGTGTGTGTATATAAGTTTAAAGGGGAGTTGGGTGAGCATGGGGGCGACACGTCTAGTCGGCCGGCCCCGCATCGTCGTCCCCCGCTTCGCGTGTGCATGCACACGTGTGTGACCCCAGTGTCGTGCATTGTGTGGGTGGATAAGGCGTGCACTGCAGTGTGATGGCAAACCCACAAATTAAAGTTATGAGGTAAGAATTACCTTGAAAAGGTTGAGTTCGGGACGCATCCAAGCGATGGCGCTCTTAGATCCCGGCTTAGAGTCAACATAGAAAGCCTTCCTACATCCATCGGCTACCAGGGAATGGGATGTATAAGTCACGGAGATTCTCCCAAGGGGAGCTCGACCTCGCCTTTGTGACCCGTGAGCTTGGGATGTGGCTTGATTCCACTCACTCACTCCTCTCACTATGCTAGAGTCTTCGAGTCGCGTGCTAGTGATTGCCTATGGTCTTATATGCTCATTGCGGTTTTGGTTCGTAAAAGACCTAGGCGTAGGCTAGGTAGGCTTGGCTGGCTCATGTTGGGTTTGGTTCAGTTCGAGGTTGGCTTGGGTTGACTACAGTAGGTACTATTGGATTCAAGTTAGGTCGAGTTTAGGAAGGTCGAGTGGGTTGAAGGTTCAAGCGGTTTGGGAAGGAGCGTGTGAGTTAAGGGGGTAGGGCGTGTGAACTAGAGAAGGGTCAGTTAGGTTAAGAGGATGGGGCGAATAAGAAATGGAAGAAGGCCAACCGGAATCCGATAGAATTCCAACAGCACCTCCCCTAGGGGGGTATAAACAACAAGAAAAGGTGCTCGACGATTAGCCGAAGCACCCCGGAGGAGTCCAAGGTGGGGTCCACCGGGTTTAAGCCCGTCTAGGCACCGCCAAGGAAGAGCCTCTTTAAGAGGGTTAACCTAGACTAAGTGGGTTAGGTTAGGTTGTGGTGTATAATAGGGTGTAAGGTATGGAGTAGGGTAGAGCATAGGATGTGGAGTATGATAGGTGTGGACTAGGGAGTATAGTAGAGTATGAGGTAGGGAGTATACTAAAATATGGGAGTATGAAGTATGATGGAGTATGAGGTAGGGTGTAGGATGGGATATAGGGTATGGAGTAGAAGACATGTGGATTGGGTGGTTAAGTTATGGGAGTATGGTTAGGTTAGGCTTAGGAAACCCTTGGTTAAGTGTAGAGACTTAACCAAGGTGGGCTAGGGTTAGGTTAAACTAACAAGGGGAGGTTAACCTAGGGTTACGTTTAGGGTAAGGGGCAAGATCTCTTTTGCACAAAAGTTTTCTCTCTCCTTTCTCAAGGGGATAGAATTTCATTAACCACAAAGCAAAAAGAGTCCTCCTTAGTTACATAAGTAATGGGGTTTACATAGAGCTCCCCCTTTGAACAAGAGTGGATGCTCAAAACCCTAGAGAATTGAGTAAAAAGAAATATATAAAAAATACAACTAAAATTCATGTAAATGGAAGATTGATCAAAAATGACATGCATAATGTCCAAAATTGACAATTAGGTTCCTCAAAATGGGCCTATTCCCATCCACATAGTATAGGGCCCTGGCTTTGGCATATCTGGGGCCAAAATGGGCGATCTATCACTGGAAAAATGTAGATTGTCTTGCCACGAACGTTTTGGTATATGATTTGCAAAGAACCATGAGGATTTGATGTAGTTCTTGATGGCTTTAAGTTTTATGGTTTGCATGCAAGCGTTCCTTGATGTTCTTCGATCAATTGCTCCAAAAATGCCAAGTTTGTTGTGGATCTTTTGGTGGTAAATTGAAGGCTCACCAAGAATCATGCGAAAAGACCTCCGATGACCGAGTTATGATTTCGGTAAGTCAATGAAAACCAATAATTCTGCTACATCTAAAGTTGTGCCACTTTTGAGCCTCGGATGGCCACCGATCCAAACTCCAATTGTGATTTTTCTTATGTCAAATTGAAAATAATCGAGTCACAATCAAAATGCACCAAATTTGAGCTCGAATGGATCGCTGAATGTCGAGTTATGATCAAAAGAGTGCAAAGACGTCACGCAAACTGATTTTTACGTGAACTTCAAAACTTGCGGACTTATCTCTAAGATTTATTTCAATCCGGCCGACGATCATGTGCGACATATCCAAATTTCAGTTCAATCCGACTTGCGGTCGTGAAATCCTGGATAGTATAAAAACAACCCACTTTTAGAAAGTAGGGCCCAAAAAGGCCCATTTGGTGTGAAATTCGAGAGTTAGGGGTTTTTCGGCCTTTTGAATTCATTCGTGGCGATCGGGAAGCCATCTGAGGTCAAATTCTAGGAGTTTTACTGAACTGTTCATCCGTGCACCTATGGAGTACAGTACTCCTTTACCTCACTTTTCTCATTTTGTGTTGTTGCCATGCTCAATTGGGCTGAAATTTGGGGGATATGTTTGGGGTACTAGGCCCACTTTTGTGCTCTTTCTGAGGCGAGATGATGTCATACAAGGGCTCTTCAAATCATGGGCTTTATCACGCACGTGCTTCCATGGTTTTTCGAGCATACTGAGTGGCCAGGAGTCATGGTTGCCGTCTCTATTATTCGCACAAGTGTCGAGTGCGTTAAAATGCATACAAACAGTGTCCTCCACCATGTGTTGCTCCCAAGTCAATGGCCCTTATCCTAAACTCTCTCTCTCTCTCTCTCTCTCTCTCTCTCTCATCCTCTACCATGTGTTGCTCCCAGGTCATTGGCCTTTGTCCTAAATTCTCTCTTGCATAGTCTCTCTCTAAACCTGAATTCTCTCTCTTGCATGATCATATCCCCCTGTCCTTACCTAATTCTCTCCCACTCTCTCATGCACTCATCTCTCCACCCCAATTAATTCTCTCTCCCTTTACCGTGATTGGTTATATCTTTCTCTTAAAAGACTTATGAACCACTTCTATATTTAGCAGCTTGAACCCTTAAGGCTGGTTCTCAAAGTGAATTATCATCTCTTCTTGTTTTGAAAAAGTTTATTTTATGTATATATTGATAATAGAGGATTTACATTAGTTTCATACCTATCTAACCCAAGGGTTGGGTAGTATGTTGTTTTGTACAAAAATGTGGTGCCCAAAATAACAAAAAAGAAAAGCCTCTCATGCAGGAGAGGGATCAATCACAAAATTGACTCTAGCAACCCCATCCTCAATTAGACTCTCTTCAAGCATGTCTAAAAAAACTCCAGGGAGATGAAAATGTATGCTCTTTAGGTGAACATTTGCTCTAAGTTCAAAGGAAACGCCCATAGTTTAGAAATTAGTTAATCACATTCTTCGAGTCTCCTTCAATGATAAGCAAGAATCCCCATCTATTGAACAGTGTAAGTCCATAAATGAGAGTTTTTTCCTAGCTACTATGAAGGAGGCGACTCTCCTATCGGCCCCATGTAGATTAGCAGTGAAGTGATGAGTGATATCTGAATATGCACCCTATGCCCGCTGGTCCTAGTTGCAAAGGAAGAAGTCATCAAAATTCAGTTTAATGGTTCCAATTTCTGAAGGTAAGCACTGTTGGGGAGAAAAGGGCAACGTAGAAATAAGATGCATATGGTCTGCATGTTATTTGCGCATCACACAATAGTTTGCTGGGGAAATGCCTCTAAGCTGGACGTTGTAGACTGTGAGCACTTTTTATTAATGACTACCCAGGTAAAGACATGAATCTTCAGGGGTACCACAATTGAGCACATATTACTGGGTAGTGGTTGTGGTTGTTGCTTGACTGCAACTAACTTTAAAAAGATGTTACTGAGGATGTGCTGGATGAAACACCATATATTTTCCCAACCTTGTTGGGGTTTGAAAAGGACATTTAGAAGCGAGAGGAGTGCTACTAACTCGTATATCTCTACTTAGGTTAGAATCCTAAATCTCGTGGACCACACCATTGCCCACCAATGATTTCATAAGATTTGTGAGTTGTGATCCACTAACAATGTAATGTGGCTTGGTACGAGAGTGTTCAGAGAGCAATCACCCAGCCATCAATTCTTCCACATTCTAACAATTTAACCACAAACCTGAATCGACTAACAAAGCTTAGATAGGTTGATGTGATGCCTTTCCATACCCCTGACCCCCGCGTCATTGGCGACCCCTTGGCAGCCAGCCCAAATTGTCGTGTCCCATAAGACAAACCTTC